TATAGATTAGCGAATAAATGGATAATGGATTCGTTTGCAGCGCACGTGACGTTGACTGTAATTATCCTAGGATTTTAATCCGAAAATAATTACAGGCCGACGCTCATTAGGTAATTTCAATTCCGAAACAATGACGGAGATAGGGCGAAATAGAACAAACGCGTGTGTCGTGTATGCCAGAGCCTTATTTGAAATGGAAAGTATATGGAGGCAAGTTCTAATTACCTTGGTGACGAGATTTCAGCAGCTGTTACGTCAAATTAGTTTTGAAGCTGACGAGCTAGTTTGTCGCCTACATACATAATTATTGTTGACTGACATTGAAAGGCGTACGGTAGGTACATTAAATTTGGATGAAATACATATTGGAAATTTGAACTCTGTAGACAACATAATCATGAGTTTGATTTTGCCATGATTTTGCAAGTATGGAATTTGCAAGTTGGCTCGTGAAATGATCTACATGTAAATGTCAGATAATCTAAGGAAAGAACTACCTATTCACATATTCTGTCAAGGATTCACAAAAATTGAGATTCATTCATCTCAATAAGGGAAACAAATAAATGAGAAACGCAATTTTACGTAGATACGATTTCAAAACTCGGATTTGATGTTCTATCTCAGACTTTCTAGACGTTTCTAAAAAGGATATCAATATTTTTGTTGATGTTCAAACTCCAAATGCAGCTTATGGTATCGGGTATCGATGCCTGATTTGTCGATACGTCGTCTCCCTCTAAGTCATTAGGCACTAACTGTAATGATTATTATCCCAATTATTATTGACCATCAAATACTAAAAGCACGAAAGGCATATTAATCCCGAAAACATTCCCCCCTAATAAATTCGATATATCCCAGGCATTTTTCCCCTTATACCTCTTTAATAATTATTTCCCGAGTTATTTTCCGAGTCGGTCAGCTTCCTGGACGTTAATTTCATCATATTCGAACTACGTAAAGGCTTCTCGATTTTCTCGAATCAGGTCACGTGTACCGCGCGTTTCCCGAAGGGACCGGCCATGGCCTCATAGAGGATTGTGAGGGATTTAGCAGGGAGCCAGTGAAGTAGGCTGCGGAAATATTTATCGTTTGCATTACCACTAGAATGCACTCTCTGGGTCCTTTTTCTCCGTAAATTATGGTTTTATTCTGAAGGCCGGTAGAAGCCGACTTTGGAATATTAAGTAACCGCATGGATGTGACCAGGAATAATTATACTTTTTCTATATATTTAGCTTCAACATGCAGCCTAATTTCCTATACCTAGTTTTTTTTTTTTGGTTACAAAGTTATTTGACTCAATATGTAGTTCTTTACATCATCCTCAATTGTCTGATTCAGCAAAATCGTGACTTCTATTCGAACGCAAACACAAACATTGCCGTCTGAAATAACCGCTGTCAAACTTTTAACTTTTCCATACCGGCGTCGGTTGGCGGGCTTTAGTACTGTTTACCAATAAAACAGACATTTTGCGGAAAGAGTGCTTTTATCGGAGGGAAACTGCTTATTGGCAAAACGTCGCTCCTGCTTAAAGTGAGGATTTTGCTGCAACAGTGTAAAGCCATCGAGGATTTTAGCGCTACATTTCCTATTTGAATACATTTTATGCTAATGTTGAGTTAAAAGTATTTTCGAGAGAACTGACAATCTCAATATAAAAATAAAACCAAAGATGAAAACTTATAAATTATATTGTAGACGATGGCTCAATAGAAAGTCCCACATAAAACACATATTTTTTAAACACCGGATTAATAATACTTATTATAATAAAGTAACGTAGAGATAATGGGTTTATAGGACTTTTGAATTAAAAATCACCCCTTTCTCTTTCTTAAATTTGGTTTTCTTCACAGGAGACAAAATGGTCATAAAATGTATGGCGAGACATCAAAGAAAAAAAAAATCATGTGCAGCGCCCTACACGTGGTAGAAGTGAAACTTCTTAAAAACTATTCCCCATTCCCCCTCATAAACCTTTTAAAGCATATGAGTCGGGGTAAAACGAAGGATCACACGAAATGGAGAGGCGCAATGAGCATCTGTAGTGACAACACAAGGGTATCGAGGCTTAACAATAATAGGCAATCCTTTTTGCTTAAAATCCTTGGTTTTTGTCAATCGTTTGTCGGTTGTCATTTTCATTGGCTGTCTCCGCCTTTATGGGTTCTCCTTTCTTCTCTCCTGTGTGACAAAATTTGCCACAACGTAGGATTGCCTTGCGTCCGTTTTTGTAACGGACAGTCCGTTGTTTGAAACAAAGACATTCCAAAAAATGCCAAAAAATTCCATTTTGGAATATTTTGAAAATTTTTGTGGCATTCTTTGGAAAAATGAGTCGGGGTGAAAGACGAAGTTAAACGCGAATCTGTAGTGACGTTACAAGGGCATCGGCGCTTGCCGCTTGACAATCATAGTTAATAATCCTTGGTTTGTGTCAATCGTTCGACGGCCGTCTTTTTCCGTCCCTCTACGTTATATTTTTCTTCTCTCTCGTGAAACGAAATTTGCCAAAACGTCACGCGTCTTTCAAATCACTCTCCATTCTCGTCCAAATATCAGACCGCCGCCTGAGAAGTTTCTCTCCAAAAAGCACAGGATACAAATGTATAAATAACGAAAATAAACACAAAACACAATGATACGTCTAACAAAAGCAAGGCGTGCAGCATCTGTAGTGACGTCACAAGGGTATCGGTGCTTGGCAATAATGTGAAATAACTTTCCGCACTTGTTAGGTAAATAACTATTTCAGATCTCGTTTGCATCTTCCTCTTCGTCTATTAGGTTGATCAAAATTAAATAATATTTTTCTTCATAAATGTTTACTTTTGCATCCAAAAATCAAGGCCAATAAGATGAGCGATCCTGTAGTAGTGTGTAATATCCTTGACTTGGACTCTATCGAGTCTATCGTCGTTGTTATCGACCGATCTACCCACTAAGAACTGTGACGTAGTGCAAATAAATTCCCTGTTAACGTCAGTTAAACCAATTGGTTGACAAATGACGGTTGATAAATGGTTTATATGTCAAGATGACCGATCGGTCGATCGCTTAAAATTGGCTATAGTTTATGAAAATCTATAGTAAGATCGGTTTTCATCTAAAATTGACCGTTTAGGTTTTATAGCCTGTCAAAGTTGCAAAAAGGACACTTTTCAATAATTCCAAAACAGTTGAGCTTGGATATAGGGTATATCACATGAAATCTGCTTAGAATTTTACATAGAATCCAAACATGCAATCACATACAGGGTGTCTCATTTAAAATAAGCAAATTGACGTCTACTTCCGGTATAACTGGAAATCCAACCGTCTTGAATATATTTTAGCCGGGTTGCCCCTATTGACATTAATATACTGTCAAATTTTCAAAAAAATTTTGCATACAGTTTTTCAAATATAGATCTATTTGGTTCCCTGTGGGATACCCCCATATATGAAGTTTTCTACAGGCACTTCAACAGTAGAGAAATTTAAAATCCATGAAAACGTGCCAGACGATGACGTATAAGCGGTATAAGTATCCAAGGATGATACACACTACTACTACAGGACGGCCTATCCTCATAGTCATAAGGCCTGTGTGTAACAAATCTCAGTGAAAACCAGCTTGAAACCACCTAAACCAGCACAAAACCAGCTTTAAACCAGTAAAAACTAGGTCGAAACTAGCATGAAACCAGTGAAAAACGCTTTGTGCTAGTTTAGCTAGTTTCGAAGCTGGTTTCAAATTTGCTTCGTTCTGGTTTTCACTGGTTCCAAACCTGGTTTTGTGCTTGCTCGGCTAATTTCAGCTGGTTTTCAGCTGGTTTCGGTCAGAGAGAATTTTCTTGGTTGAAACTATACCATTCCCAAATCCAAGCGGCAGTAAATGACATATAACCTAAACTGTCAACAAACACCAGCCTTTCTATTGGGTTGAAACGCCCTACCTCTACCAAGTACGCACGGAGGACATTTGATAGGTTGTAATAGAAATGACCAGTTTGTCGCTTGGATTGGGATTGGGTCAACCATAGTTTTCTGACTGTTTTTAGCCAATGAAATTCTACTGGATTATGATTTCTGTGCGAACAGACCTAATAATTCAAGAAAAATGTTACAAACTCAATCCCTCTAAAGCTGTTTTTTCGCGTTCATTTTTTTGAAACTGGTTCCAAACAGGTTTGAAACAGCGTCACTTAGCGTCACGTCACTTGTCAACCAACTAGTATATTAATTGACATTAAATCCATGACTTATCTGTAATTTCTGTCAAGATTACTGAGTAAATCGCTTAAAATGGACACAACTATTCTTCATTTCAAAACCATTTCCTCGCACCGAGAAGTTAGATATGACATCATTGTGAAACTGTTCTATACCAGTTTTGAAAAAGTTTTCAAAACTACTGATGGTTTGTGATTTCTGCAGAAACAGACCTATAATAAGGTCTGTTTCTGCAGAAATCACAAACCAGTCAGAGCGAATTTCATAGGTTGAAAACAGTTAGAAACAGTAGAAAACTAGTTTCAACCAATGAAATTCACTCTGACTGGTTTGTGATTTTTGTAGAAACAGACCTATTATATAAGGTCTGTTTCTGCAAAAATCACAAACCAGTCAGAGCGAATTTCAATAGGTCTGTTTCTGCAGAAGTCACAAACCAGTCGGAGCGAGTTTCATTGGTTGAAAATAGTCAGAAACAGTCAAAAAACTAGTTTCAACCAATGAAATTCACTCCGACTGGTTTCTGATTTCTGCAGAAACAGACCTATTAGTCGAAAATAGTCAGAAAAATAGTTTCAACCAATGAAATTCACTCTGACTGGTTTTGATTTTTGCAGAAGAAACAGACCTATTATTACACCGACTCTGGTTTGGCTTTTTGAAAACGCCTAACGCCCACCCTGGTTGATGTTGAGTTTTGGCGCCTTTTTCTGACAGCACTTATTTGTTTACCTTTGTAAACATAACCCAACTTTTATTCTTTTTGAAAATTCAAATAAAAGTGCAGTACCTATCTACCTTGTATAATCTACCTCAGTAATAAGTGATTCTATTAGTGCGGTATAATAATATACCTAGTCAGTTTTTTTCAAAATTGCCAGCAAAAAATAATGTCCTCTCTGCTAAGCGCAGACTTGGCCGCAGCTTGCAATGCCCTGGGGTACTTCGATGCGAAAGCGAATAAATATTATGCCGACGCCAATACTCTCGAGACCGTGAAAGACCTAATTCGATATTTGAGGCGAGACGACGAGACTCACGACATCAGAAGGCAACTAGGTGACACTGCGGTCTTGCAATCTGATTTGTTGCCCCTGTTGAAAAGCTATTGGGAAGAAGCCGACTTGTTCGACGTGTTGTTGAGGTAAGAATTTTTTTCTAATTGGTTATAAATTCTTGTCATAGTCAGACAAGTCAGAGAGGCAAAGGGCTAAACATAAGAAGGTACTGAGGGATTTTTCACCTTGTTAATCGGTGTACAAATCACTGGTTGATATGTCAATACCAGGTAAATACTATGTCAATAGTGTCAATACTATGCAATGCCTACTTGTTAATTATGTAGGTAATATATGTCAATACTTGTAGATATCTAGGCAATATGATATGTTGTCATTGGTTGATACCCATTAATAACATTTAAATACCTCGGTAAATACCTGTGGATATGTCAATACCAAGGTCAATACCTAGAATTCTGGCAAGACAAATATTTGACTTTAGTCTGTCAATAGCATGGCAATACCTGATAATATGTGATAATACTATTGAAATACCTGGCAATATGTGGAAATATTTTGTTAATACATGGAACTAGTTGGCAATAACCGAGAAGGCGACCACTTCCTGCAATACGTGTACATTTGGCCTGAAATCACTTGCAATCATCTCCAAAATCATTCTGAAATCCCGCAGTCAGTTCGCAATATCTGGAATCCTTCTTGCAGTCCCGAAATCTTTTTCCGCAATCGCCGAAATCCTATGCAATCACCTTTGCAATTTCTGAAATCACTCAAAATCAACTCTAGTGGGGATAAAAAATCAGCTGTTGATTGGGATTTTGCAATACATTGATAATTGACATCAAGTTTTTGTTGCTTTCATCATTTTCGAATTCAGCAGTGTTTTTTTTTTGAAGAATCAAATGCTGGATCTGATGTAGAACAAGTGGAAATGTTATCCAATGAAAAATATTATGCAGGTCTTTAGGAGACCTAATATAGGTATTAGGTGTATTTCAGAATCATTGGAAAATGACACTTGCTTGAATCAAGTTTTTAGAGTGGCAGTAGGACATGTACTTACAGGGTGTCAAGTTATAAAGTATGTACCACCACCTGTAACTTTTTTATGTAGGATCAAAAATAAAAAAGTTACAGGTGGTGATACCTACTTTATAACTTGACACCCTGTACAGGGTGGCCCATTTCCGATGTTTTAATGGGCTATATCGAAAACCAGCAGAGATTTTTTTTGAGAAAATAACAACAATAGTGAAGACAACTCATGGCTAAATTTTTTTTCAAGTTTTTTTTTTTTTCGAGATGTCACCGATTTTGGAATAGTAACCCTGATGTTGAGTTGTATTTTCTTAAATGGGACACCCCATATATTATTTTTTCATTGCATAGCTCTTTTCGAGCTGATTTCAATGATATAAGGTTTTATAGATTTACCTTCGAAAGTTTTTGAGAAAAAATAAATTCTGTTTCTTTATAATAAATAATGAATTAGAAAGAGATAGTTGAAATATGAATCAGCTACAAAGGACCCGAAATATTTAAATGGAAATTGGTTACCCGTGATATTTGAATGAAATTTAAATATGTTATTGGGGATGCTGTAAGCAACATTTTTTACCATGGGCACAACTCTGTATATATGACAGGTGAGGCGTGATTGGCTGTTAAATATTGGAATCTGATATCCAAAAGCAGAGTAACTATGGCAGATTTTGATGAACAAAAAATTTATTTCTACTAAGTCGACCATGTTAAGTCGAAAAATGTCAATCGTTTTAACACCTGTCAAAACCCTGCCAAACGGCAGCACTCATCTTTTCCAGTTTTCAATATTTTATGTTGTCATTTGACATTTTCAACTTATATGTAAATTCTGAATTTAAAAATTGAAAAAAAAATTACAGCTGTCAAAATGTGACGTGCATGAACTTTGTTTAATGTTTTATCACCAATAAACTACCTTAAAGTGAGAAAGGACCAGATTAGAGTATTTTTTTCTATTAAAACAAATGACAGGTTTTGACAGTTGTGTCATTTTTTTTTCAATTTTTGAATTTAGAATGGATGAAATCCCACGAAATTCCACTGAAAATAAATGAAATTTTGGACTAATGAATAATGAGTAGAAAGTACATTGTACTTGTGCAAAATACTTCTAGTGATCACAGTGACTTGAAATTTCCAGTATTTATGAATTGAAGTTTCTTCTTTGTGGAAAAGTTAATTTGAAGTTGATCTGAACCTCTAAACTAAATTTAGAAGCTTTTTTTCAAGTTAATGCATGGAAAAATGATTAAAATTTGCAAAAATCACTTGTGCAAAGTACTTCTAATGATCACAGTGATTTGAAACTATCAGGATTTATGAATTGAAGTTTCCTCTTTGTGGAAAAGTTAATTTGAAGTTGATTTGAAGCTTCAAACCAAATTTCGAAGCTTTTTCATATGTTATTGCCTCGGTTATTGCATGCAAAAATATATAATTTGCAAAAATCACTTGTGCAAAGTACTTTTAATGCTCACAGTCACTTGAAACTTTCAGAATTTATGAATTAAAGTTTCTTTTTTATGGAGAACAACGAGCGGAGCGAGTTCCGCAGCAATTACCTAATTCATTAATGAGTCCTTCTGATATTAGAATGGGGAGTTTCTGAACTACAGAATCTGGAATTCCACTGGAATCCCACATGCTTTTACACTATATTTCCAAGATGGTTTACCCATCGGTGTAATGTTACTTTTGATGACCCTTTTGACCAACCTTTATTCTTGAATACAGTATACATGTGCAGCAAATAGTAGTGGCAATTGTCCAGTCTATTATGTCAGGCAGTGGGCTCAAAGAGTTTTGGGAGCAAGATTTGCTAGAAAATTCAATTACGACTATACTGTCTGGTTATGCATATGCCTGAGCTTTTCGTGCTTACTTACTTTTCCATGTTGCCATAGCCACTTTTCTCTCCTAGTGGACATTGAATAAACAATTGCTACACCTGATGAGAAGATTGAAACTTGGTTGCAATGTTTCCATCAAATAGAAATCATCCAAATAATGATTTTGTGAGAGCTAAAAGGTGTTACACCTTTACTACATTGTGTAATCTACAGCAAGAGAACCCAATCTATTTTAAGAAACAGTTGCTTATACATATTATATATTTTCCTCGATAGGTTCAATACCAGTGCTTCAAGCACTGCTTAGAGAAGATCCTAATGTATCCATCTCTAGGCATATTCTGTAAATTGTTTAGGTACTTACTTAAGTATTGATGTTTTTTAAAAAAAAATGCTAAGTCAAATCTTCCACTTTACCTACTATCCCATGGATTCAATTGTCTTAAACATTGAGTTAGACATCTTAAACTCTTTTGGCAGGAAAATTATTTCTAGAAACAACTTTTTATTTGGTTGTAAATGGATCAGACTTGGTATTTGAGTCGGTATTATATTTGAATCATTTGCATGTGAGTCATTTTCAGTACCTACCCGTACATATTTTTGCGTTCTACTCTAGGCTACAAGCTTCAAGTTCATTCCATCTTCTCTAAGTTTTCTCCAAATATGGAGATGAAACAAGATCTTCATTAAAAGTTTTAGAACTAAAGTTAGCGCAAAATATTTCCATACTCGTGAAAGTTTTAATTCTAACACACACGCTGTTTTATTCCACTGCAACATAAATATGCACTTCCAATTTTTAATCGTACCCATTTAGATTCACCCAAAGCAAAATAAATCTCGACTAAAACCATCTAATAAATTAGGCCAGGATAAAGTTCCCCCACGGTGGCATTTCCCCCACGATACCCCCTCGATCCTACTAGGGAAATTACTGTATCGCTTAACCAACCCCCCAGCCCTCCTACTTCATCTATAAATCAAGTTGCAAAAAGACCCTAAAATTAAATCTTCAGGTGCTAAGCTTACCTCTCGGCCTAACCGCCATTAAAAATTTAAATTTGGATTAAATTTTGATGCGGCACCATAAAAACCTCAAATTCCAAGCACAACTTTTGCGGATAGAGGGGGCTCCGTATCAAGGATTTACATTTTATATTTTCAGCCAAAAATAAATTATACTATACTTACCCCTTTTTAAAACAACAGGGGATTGTTCACAGTGGGCTGTTTGCATCAAATATATTCAATATTCTATTAAAGCGAATGACACACATCCTAGAAATTTGCAAAATCTCTCTCTTTCGCTTCACATAACTTAAAAAACATATTGCAGGTAGGTAGGTACGTCTCAAAGCCGCGTGCATATGCTGGATAATCCAATCGTGAAATGATGGTTTAAACACAGGAAATTGAGTTCTCTCTTTCCGAACGAAAATTGCTCGAAGTGAAGCGAAATCCCTGGGACAAAAGTTTTCAATTTATTCTGAGATGATATTGCTTATTCGGCTTTAGGTCACAATCCTTTCGGCTTTAGTATCAGGCCTTTTTTTTTTGTTTGTTTCAGGTTGATTGTGAATCTTACAACACCAGCTTTGATGTTATGGAGCGAACAGTTGCCTACAGAGAAAACTGTTAGACATTTTTATTTGCAAGTCGAAGATCATTTACAGAACTATAAAGAAGCTTTCGCCGATGAGGCTGTATGGGCTGTTCTAAGTACCAGGTTGAGCAAAATTTTGGAAATTGTAAGTACATAGACCTTAATTAACAAAAAAAAATCCTTTCTCAACAGCAAGACATAAAGCATATTTTCAGTTTTCACGCTCACTTTTTTTTCGTTAGGTGGTTTGAAAAGCGTCGCGGCGCGCCCCAAATACTTGACGCAAAAAAAAACAAGGCATAAAGACCCTCCGAGATAAAAGACCTGAAAAGTAAATTAATTAAACTTTTATGGGGACATTATTAAAAGCCTAAATCGCAAGTTAGGCGCTCGCCGAAAGTCTCTCGGGGACGGATTTAAGGTTCCTTTTTTTCTCCTTTTTCCTCTGAGGAATTCCATTGTCGAGGTTTCCTGGGTTTGTTTCAGATTCCATTGTGCTCCAGGCTCGACGTTGGATCTGTTTTCTTTGGCCCCCCCGTTTATTAAAATTTAATTCGTTCATTATATTTACTGCGTTTTCGATGGGAAAGAGCTTAAATCATTTACTTCTAATTATTCAGATTTTAAGTCTCGAACAAAGTGTTTGAGGTTTAATTTTTTTCCAGGGTTTTTCCCTCGGTTTTTCCTTATATCAAAATTAATTTTGAAATTTTTCACTCACTAGAAAATAACATTTATTTTATTTATTTTCGCTGGTTTCAACATAAACAATATGCCTTTCACAATTTTCGTAATTAAAATAATAAATTTAATTAAAAGCAACTTTCGAGCTCGAATTGTAAAATGAAAAATTCCAACGCGTAAAAATTATCTCCATTCCAGCAGATCAAAATATGCAAAATATTAATACTTATTTATTTTTGTTTTTGATATTAAATAATTATCAATTGAATAATTGAAATTCGCAAAAACAAATTTCAGTTATAACCACTCTGCAAGTGGCAGCGGACATTTTTTTTTTTATATCTTCCTAACATAATATACAAATGCTCGGCATGTTTTCAGTATGCAGTTTATGACGTACTTTACATACTCCTAAGCGAGCGAAAATTCTTTTAAATAATTGAACCGAAACGGGATCGCAACCCTCTTTTATTAAATGGGGAAAATGCGACGGAAAATCCTCTCCCGAAAAAATGTTTGATATGTATTAGTTTCACTCCACGACATGTGAATGGGGCGCTTTCGTATTGAACAGAAAGTATTGAAAGAGAAGCCTTATATATTTATTTACACTTTTGTAATTACAAGAAAAATCGTACAAAATACTTATATATTAGATTGATAAGTAGATACACATAAAAATTATGTAAAATCAGAGCTGGCACAAGTACATTACGAAAGTACTTGAAGTATAAGTACAAGTATTTTAAATTATACTTTGATTATCAAGTAAACTTGAAATTGACTTGAATTTCATCAAGTAATTTACTTTAGGAAAAAGAATAGAGCTTCAAGTAAAGTGGCATTACTTGAAGTATATTTCAGTACTTGAAGTACATAAAATACTTTAAATAAATTACTTGAAGTAATTTTGGTACTTCAAATATTTAAAATCTGTTCATAACAAGACAATTCTTAGTAACTTTTTTAGTTATTCACAATATAATCCGATCCTCATTCTATTCTGGTATCTTATCCAAGCTTTATGTTATTTATTATTTATTAAGTAATAAAAGTACTGAGGTCCTTAGTAATTTTGTATATTTTTCCTTATAAAGTACGCCGATTCGAGTAAAATTTTGTATATCTTAGTTTCAGTTCTAAAAATCTAACGGAGCAGGATTCCAAAATAGGTACAAGGTATTTGATTATATTCAAGCCCATACCTACAGCCTTTACTATTTAAGGCTTGGTTAGAAATATTTGCCCAGATCTTTGTTGGATATTTGAGCAAATTGAAATAATTTATATATCGTTGGAAAGAGTAATAAATTCTCTATAAATCTGTGCAAAATTGAGCTTCATAGCTCAAATAGTTTTTGAGCAATTGAGTCTCAAAGTTGGCTTTTAGAATTCAGAAAAAGTACCCTTATAAAAACTAATTTTTTTTATTTTTTCGTTTTGCTCAATTTTGACTTTACCAATCGATAGAGCGGGTCAAAGTTAGTGGAAAACAACCCTGACATCATTTCCAAATGGCCGTTTTAAGCTGAAAAAAAAATTAAGGAAATCCTATTTTTGGCTCTGAAAAATTTCAAAAATCTTGACATGGTCATGAGCAATTGCGCATATTTTTATTAAATTTTGAGCAAATTAAAATAAATCATACACCATTGAAAAGAGCAATAAATTGTCTATAAATCTGTGCAAAATTGAGTTTGATACCTCAAATAGTTCTTGAGCAATTGAGCCTCAAAGTTGATTTTTAATCAAAATTTTGTCAAAAACTTCAAATTAAATTTTCTCAAAAACTATAAACCTGGGAATATTATAAATTGCAGGCCATGTAGAGCTCAATAAGAGCTACAAATGCAGAAAATTTCAATGCAATTTGCTTGACGGTTACCGAGCAATTGAGATTTGAATATTTTGAAATCAGATTTCAATGAAAAAGTCGATTTTTTTATTTTTCAGTTTTGCTCAATTATGACCTTACCAATCGAAAAAGCAGGTCCAAATTAGTAGAAAACAATCCTGATATCGTTTCCAAATGGCCATTTTAGGCAGTAACAAAAATAAAAAGGAAATCTTATTTTTGGGTCTGGAAAATTTTCAAAATCTTGTCTTGAGTCATTGCCTATATCTTTGTCGAATTTTGAGGAAATTGAAATTAATTATACACCAGTGGAAAGAGCATTAAATTATCTATAAATCTGTGTAAAATTGAGTTGGATAACTCAAATAGTTTTTGAGCAATTGAGCCTCAAAATTGATATTTAATCCAAATTTTGTCAAAAACTTCAAACTCAACTTTCTCAAAATTTATAAACCTGGGAATATTGTAAATTACAGGTCTTTCAGAGCGTGATAAGAGCTACAAATGCTGGAAATTTCAATGCAATTTGCTCAACGATTCCTGAGCAATTGAGGTTTGAATATTTTGAAATCAGAATTCAAAGGGGGTATGAAAAATTCGGTTTTTTTTATTTTTCGGTTTTGCTCAATGTTGACTCTACTAATCGATAAAGGATCAAAATTACTGGAAAACAACCCTGACATCATTTCCAAATGGCCATTTTGAGCAGGAACAAAATTAAAAAGGAAATCCTGTTTTTGGCTCTGGAAAATTTCCAAAATCTTGACATGGTCATGTATATACAATTGCCCATATCTTTGTTAAATTTCAAGCTAAATTGATATAAATTATACGCAATAGGAAAGAGCATGAAATTCTTTTTAAATCTGTGCAAAATTGAGTATAGTAGCTCAAAAAGCAGGCTATTACTCACTAGCAGACAACTAGGCTATAATAACAACACCAAAGTTTATCTCACCAAAACAAATTTAGATATCTTCAAGGCAGCTGAAGTTTATAGGAAAGAAAACAACTAAAAGTACTTATGGATTAGTGATGGCGACATATTGTTAAGAAAAAATTAAACCTCTAAGGTTTGTCTTGTGAAAGACATGGATCAATTAAAGTAAAAAACTCAAGCTTGTATACAGGGTGTCCCAAAAAGATACCGACAAACTATAAGAGGTAGTAGGGGATATCAAAACAAGCATTTTTGTTTATATAAACATATGTCCGCAAATGAGCCATTTGGGTGGTAGAGCAAAAAAACTCTTTTCATTCTTCGCAATAATCAAATCACTGTTTACTTCTTTATTTTGGTTTATTAACAAATCAATTATGGTTTACAATAATTGTTCAAAATGTTGACCATTTACTTCAATGCAAAAATTGCACCGTCGGGTCATTGACTCGCGAACCCTTTGGAATATTCCGGGAATAGCTTCTACATGGGTACAACTCGCCAGTATCCTTGCTAACAGATCTTCCTCATTACGAACAGGTGTTTTGTACACTAAACTTTTCAGTCAATGACCCAACGGTGCAATCTTGGCATTGAAGTAAATGGTCAACATTTTGAACAATTATTGTAAACCATAATTGATTTGTTAATAAAGCAAATTTAATAAGTAAACAGTGATTTAATTATTGCGAAGAATGAAAACAGTTTTTTTTGCTCTACAGGCTCATTTGCGGACATATGTTTATAAAAACAAAAATGCTTGTTTTGATGTCCCCTACTACCCCTTAAAGTTTGTCGGTATCTTTTTGGGACACCCTGTATATGAACACACAAAGTTTAAGGAATAAGATAGATAGAGTGCAATGTTTTGTATCAAACAATGACTGCTATATTCTTCTACTTACAGAAACATGGTTAAACTATCAAGAAACTTTCCTGTACAATTTCAAAAATTATAGAGCAATTCATTCATATAGAGATACTAGAGGAGGAGGTGCATCGATATACATTAAAGAAACTATACAATTTCGTTAGTTGGACAAATCTAGTGAAAGCGATAAAATAAACTGGGTATGCGTTGGTGTCGGTGATCAAAATCTTAAAATAAGTGTTGTATATAAACCACCCTCGTACAGTAATACGGAGTTCCTAGCTTCACTGGAAAATATTATTCTCAAGTACCCCCAAAAGCACTTGGTAGTGGGAGACTTTAATGTTAATTCGTTAGATCAATCTAAAGATGTAGGTAACTACACAAACCTAATTACTCTGAATAATTTTAGAACACATAACATCATAATAGAAGAAAATGCTACTAGGGTTACAAATAATACAAAAGCATATTAGATCATGTTCATTCCGACAAATTTTATAATTTTAATTGAGAAGTTACTGTTGAAAGCACATCTCTATTAGACCACAAATTATTGTCAACCACAATAGAGGATATAACATGAAATTATTTTCTAAAAAAAATAAAAAAGGTTAAAATAACAGATTACCAAAAGTTTAAAAGCATGTTTAGGGAAAAACTACTCAATGAAAATGTCTCATCATTTCGGAATCTGACTGATTTTATTACAAATTCTAAAAAAAAATCTCAAAAAACAAGGATTTTTAAAATTTGGGAAAATAATGAATGGATCAATCAGAAAGTCTTAGAAATGATTACCTCTACAAAATGAAAACAAAAAATCTAGGAAACCTACAATTGGATACTCAATTTAAACATATAAGGAATCGAGCTAACAATAAAATAAAAAGTTTAAAAAATATGTATTTCAAAAAACAGTGGAATAAAACAGGCACAAATCTAAAAAAACAATGGAATTTTGTTAGTAGATTTTTTTAAAATAAGTTAAGTGAAAATAACTTTACCTATATAGGGAGAGATGATTATGAAATTGCAAGAAGCTTAAATACTCATTTTTAAGGAGTTGGTGAAACAATTGTCAATAGCCTTAAACAAGAAATACTTTCAAATTACCATAGAGTAAATCAAAACGTACTGAAATCACTTGTGCTAATATACTTTCAAATCAGAATTCAAAGGGGGTACCTAAATGAAAAACTCGATTTTTTTATTTTTTAGTTTTGCTCAAGTTTGACTTTATCAATCTATAGAGTGGGTCAAAATTAGTGAAAATCAACCCTACATCATTTCCAAATGGCCATTTTAACACATGGCATGCCACGTGTATATTGGGAAAATATCCCCCAGTGTTTTTCTCTTAATTATTAAAAAGTGGCTGAAATGATAGATTACATTGTTTATAGTATTTTTTTGTTTGTTTTTAGCTTTCCCCACCATTTTTTCTAGGTCAGTCATATATGACAGATGAAGATACAATACTTGTTTAATTTAAAATCCTCAAAAAAAAGTAAATAGCAATAGTAATTTCGACTGCCTATCTCTTAGACAAAAAAATTCTGTCAAATACACATTGGAGAAACCAAATGTGTTTATTGCCTAACCCCTACCCCTTCTGTCTTGGAGGCTTGCTCCCCTAATGATTTTTCTAAAATGAGAAACTACCCCCTGTGATACCTCCTTTTGCCTGGCAAAGTTAAAAAGCATTCTGCTATTCTATTAAAGCCCCATTAGGCTGAATTCACTTGAAGTCACGTTGTGCAGCTGACACCCAACAGCAAATCACAATTCAACAATTTCTCGCTGGTATTCGGTAGTGCCCCACTGCTACACTTACCGTATATAGTATATTCAATGCAACAAATGGGATCCTAACCTATTATGGTGGACGGCCTCCCCAGGGGACACCAATTACCAAAAAGAAATAATCAAATCATGATTTGTTGCCCTGGATATCAGTGAAACGTAACTTCAATTGTTAAGAGGAAGTTATTGAAAAAATCTACAGCCAAATGCTTAAAGTCTTAATACCAAACATGCTCAACTAGAAGTAGCTTACCAAAATTCTGATTTGAAGGGCAGTTAGGATCATTGTTTACTATTCACAACTTAGGGACCTTTTGAAATAAAACACAGAAATTATGTAGCCCGCCTTACTTTCAACCGTCTCCGTAATCCAGTTATTATTTTTTTAATAGCTTATTCCTCTACAATAGTCGACTGCCGAATGACGAATATAAAAATAGATAAGAAAAGAAAGGTACAATAGCTTGTTTACATTACCCTAGTCCCCTTTTTTCTTACTTCGATCTGTGCTTCAGTGATGATTCATCAATTAGGTATAATAATATTGAGATAAACAAATCCTTCCATCGTACAATTATATTAACTTAAATGCAAATTGTGTTTTTAAAAACTTTTATTTTAATTAAAACACGAAATTACATTGATGTTGCTACGACAAACCTAACTTAAAGACTAATTTCTACAACGCTGCAAGGCTATATTTATAATAAAGATAAGATGCCGCATAAGCAAAAGTTTGCAAAAACTCCTTAAATTAATAATGTGTCGTCAGAAGTGGCCATATAATACCTTGCTGAAATGCACAAAACACCAATTTCAGATTGTTTTGAAAATGTGATGAAAAACCTTTTGAGAATGATTATTATTCTGAAGCACTTTTTGAGTAGCTTCGCCTCCCCCCTAACGTAATTGTTTCAAATAAGAACCTATCTTGTGTTGTACATCGTTGGATAGCTCATTGCTTTCCCTTTACAGTCTTATAGCAAAATCTCGAATTGTACGATTAGTTTTCGAGGTAGATGTTTAAAAGTAAGCATATTTTGAAAACTAGTGATTTTGACTATCTTTGAGCAGTAGTATAGTAGTACTCTACTTTGGACAAAATGTCGACCAAATTTTAACTTTGAAGTTCAATATCCTGGAAACTTCTCAAGTTACAAAAACCAATTTTGCAGAACTTATAGAAAATTTAATACTCTTTTCAATGATGTAAATTGTAGGCAATTTCTCAAATATCATGAAAGATATGAGCAATTATTCATGAGCTTGTCAAGATTCCAAAAATTTTCAGATTCCCTGGGGATTGGCCTTATTCCTGGTTCACGCTGTTTATCGGCGGATTGATCAATCTCATCCTCATTTGGAAGTGGAAGTTCATTTAGGTAATCTTTCCGCTCTAAACTATCTGCAAAAGCTCATGCTTTGGCTTTATATCAGAGAACACTCATTAAATCTGTGAAATAGTCGAATGATGGTTTTCTTCTCACAGATACTTCTGCTTTTTGGAAATTTTCCTTAAATTTCTTCTCTAAATTTCTGAATTTTTCTGTCTCAATTTTTGTCTGTTCCCGGCTCTTGAATTATTCCTTCCAAATATCTCTACATAGAGAAGATTCAAGAGCCTGAAAAAGGAACAACATACTTCAGTCTACTTATCTACTTGATTTTCCCTAAATTTCTGCTTTTCAATTCTTAAAGTTTTGTATCTAAATTTTTGTCTATTGCCGGCTCTTGAATTGTTTATTTCTAAATATCTCTACATAAAGAAAATTTAAGAGCCTGGAATAGAAACAACATATAGGTATTGCCTTTCAAATTTTTGTCTATTCCCGTCTCTTCAAGAGCCTCTTAAAACATATAAGAGCCGGTTTTTTCACTTTCTAATGAACTGTCAGGCAAGCTGTCAGGTGATGCAATCCGACGGATAAAAACGTAATATGTAATCCTTTTGGTCAACCAGTTATCCAGTGACCAACAGGATTATAGATCTGTAAATTTATCTTGCAGATAGTTACCAGCAAGTTTATATCACGATGAATGAACCGGGCCTAAGATAGAGAACCTTAGATGTTAGCGAATACAATAGAAAAACTGATCTGCGAAAAAGTCGTTTGATCCAAATCAAAATGTTTTCCAGCATGTCTTTTTTTCTATTCCAACAAACATCCCAAGCAGTTAGTCGTTATAACGTGGATTTCAAATAGATTTACGTCGATTAACCAAAATTCGACGTCGGAAACGGGTTGCAAAATATGACTTGTTTGGGACGTCACGTAGTGGACGTTTATTTGACCATGACATGAACCAACAGGTTCAAAAGTTACCATGTAAAACCCGATATGACCCATTCAAAAAAAATACCCTATACTAAGACGTTTATGAAGCGTTCATTTGACGTTGTTGAATTGGACGTATATTTGGTCATTGTGAATCGATTGAAAAGTTATTACAAGGTGACAATTTGAAAACGAACAGCATTGAATATTGCCTTTACCAATGATGGTATGGAAATTTGACGAAACACATCAATTAACATCTCAAGGGGGACAATTTTTGAGGCATTTGTTGACGTGTTACTCGCAACCCCCTGAATCCCAGGGCACCTACCCCTAAAATTTCAAATGGCAACCCTTATTTATTTTACCATTTTTGTGTTCCTTATGTAATTCCATATAAATTGCATTATATTTTTTCTGGCAAAATTGAAGTACCTAACCTCATAAATGAGCGAAATCTATTCAAGTAGGTAAATGTACTTGAAGTGGAATTTCAATTAATTTACTTCAAATATTGACGGCTTTATGTAAAATTAAACATTTTTTTTCCTCCAGGACCCTCCTGAAAGAGGTGACGAAAACAGCTTGATAATCGAGAGGATTTTAATATTGATCCGAAATATTCTTTATGTCCCTGCGGACACTATGGAAAGACGTCCTGATAATGATGCCAGCATCCACGATCAGGCAAGTATCATCTTATTGATTATGAGCTAATTTGATGAAAAACCAAAATTTATTTAGTCTGGAAAGTTATACCGACATTGGAAAAGTTTGATATAAATCAGAAGTTTCCCTTTTCGACTGTCTCTCGCCATTAAACGTGTACTGAAAGTTTGCGCACGACAAAAAACTAATGCGAAAAGTTAAATAATACCTGTTTCACAAAAAACTTCCATCTCTCGAGAAGTTATAATGTATTACATACGCTCCCACATAACTTTAATAAATCCGTACATTTGAAATTCTCAGAATTTATATTTAGGTTTTGTGGGCTCTCCACCAATCTGGCATGCTAGACATAATCCTCTACATGACGAGTTCGGCCAATGAGAATGCATATTACTTACACATTCTGGAGATTCTATCGTTCATGTTGCGTGAACAGAAGGCCTCCGAGCTGGCTAATGCCGCTTTGCAACGAAGCCAAACGGAAAAGATTCAAGATGAGGCTGAATTGTTGGGTATCCGGCATAAGGAAATTATTGAAAAGCAAAAAAAGGCCAAGGTTTATACTGGAACGAGGTAAGAAATTTTGTTTGAATAAGGTAATTTTTATAAATAGTTTTATTCTAGACATTCAAGATTTGGTGGTACATTTGTGGTGAAGTCGATGAAGTCAATAAGCGAGAACGAGCTTATTTATCACAAGCCGTTAAGCAAACTGGATGCTCTCAATTTCGACACAGACAAAACCAAACCTAAAACTCCGAAAAATCGAATGCCAGTAAGTTTCGAAAACTTTAATTTATTTACTTTACGGTACATGTCGAAGAGATTGTTTCAAACTTTCAGTTCTATGTTGGACTCTGGCTTTTGGTTCGCCGGAACTAGTTAGTTGTCCATTTTGTCGTTTTGTGTGGCTCGATTCGAACAAGATTAAAAGTTTTAGAGGCTTAAATTCGAATCGTCACATTGAAGACTTAAATTTAAAGGGATTAAAGTTGCATTACAGAAACCCAAAACGACACATCACATCTTGAATCATCGCCCATTCCGTTTCTGACACATTCCCTACAATCCAGCATATAAATTTATCAAAATCTGCATCTCGTCCGTGTAAACTGTCAGCCGCGAAATTTCTCAAAGCCCATTTATTTCTCCGAATCCAGGTGAAAGCGGCGTCGGTCGAGCGTCGATCAGCTTTCAGCATTCGTCTGTTTCTCAAGGGATTTTGCGTCGAATTTTTAAACGGCGCCTACAACACTTTGATGTATCACGTGAAAGACAATTTGGTTAGAGCGAAGGCACAGGCCCACGACGAATCCTATTACTTGTGGGCTATCCGATTTTTCATGGAATTCAACAGGTGTTATCAATTCGAAGTGAAACTTGTTAGGTAAGTAACCAATAAAAATAGCTGTTGTACAATGTATTTGTTCTATTATTTTATCAATTAATTCAATCTAACATTGAACTAGGAGACTTCTTAAATCTAAAAAAGCAAACTCTATTCAAATAATTAATTTTTGCTTTCCACATACATACATCCTTCCTCTAAAATAAAATTCAAGCTTGACTCACTAAACTCATTTTAACATTCGACGCCAAAGTAAAATCCGTATAAAAGGAGAGACGCTTAGTTAGGAAAAGTGCAAAGGAGTCCGTACAAAATGAGATACAGCGAGATAGAGAGTTCTGACTGATCTTTTCCGTCGATAGAGAGAAAGTATGGTGCATTCAAATAGAAATCGTTTTTAACGCGGGCGCGCCGAGTCGTTTTTGATATCGAACTTTTATTGTTGCGCCCTTTCTTATTGTTCTCCGATTTTGAAGCTTTGAGCTTTTCGAACGGGACAATGGAAGCAAATTGATTTTGAGAGCGGGATTTATGACAAGGCGGATCCGGGAAAGGATTTATGGGGAGAAATGGATGCTACAATTTACTTATATAATTAAGATATGAGTGAAATTTATTAAGATTCTTGGCAGTACATAGGTTTATTTTTTAATTGTTCCTTACCTGGATTTCCCGATGAAAATCTGCATTTTGGAAATACATATACGAAGAAGAAACATTAACGACATTCCTTAGTTTGTTGGATTGTAAGACACTCTGACAAACTTCATTCTGAGGTTCTGATGACAACATTGGGTCGAGACACATTTTGAAGTCGTGACGTCAGTGGGTCACCAGAAAACATAGGCAATACTACGATCTATGCCAGACGCATCTTTCGAGATGGAGCACACAACAGATTTTGGTCAGCGATTTATTCTTTTCAATTAATTACCATTGTTTATGACGTTTGTCAAAGTTGCATTTTTTGTATATGAAGATGTAGTTGTTGATTGTTTAATAAAAATCAGTATTAATTCAACAGTGGTTCTTTCTGTCCAGTTACTAAACTTCCCGGGTGTACTAACCCAACCTAAAAACCACAAACAACAAACTACCAAGTGTTCTGAGCATCCTCCTAAATTCCAATACAGGAATTTTACATTGGTCCTTCGAGCAAAAAGAAGATAAAGGTTGAAAACCTTCCCAACAGTCCTCCATTTATTCCTATTCTTTAACCTACACACATACACTCGCGCCCTTCAGGGTTAACGTTTAGACACCGGTCTAAACACCCACACATACATTCCTTCCTGCTGTAGCAAGTGCCTTATCTGGTTACAGCATCCCGTTCCTAGTATAGCAAGTGGTCTGGCTATACAATCCTTCCTACATCCTATTGATAATCAAATATACACATACACTTGCGCCCTTCGGGGTTAACGCTTAAACACCGGTCTAAAGCACCTACACATACATTCCTTCCCGCTGTAGCAAGTGCCTTGTCTGGTTGCAGCATCCCATCCTCAACAAAACAGAACAAAGAAATCGGTTCAGATACCAGCAAACTGCACCAAAAAAGGAGACGAAAAACAACAAGTCCTGAAGTCAAAGTAATAAGAAGAAGCCGAAACATACCTCCACAAAGAGGAGAAAAAAGAACAGATAATCAATACAGGTAGAAACATCCAAAATGGAAGAAGCCAAAGAACTCCCTAAACCATAAGACCTTGAAAAGCGGTACGAAAAAACTGTACAAAACCTGCAGGACAAGATTCAAGGAGTAGAACAAGTTGTGAAGCAATGCAAAAATCAAACTACGAATTTTTGGAGCCCGATATGAAGAGTGAGTCACATTTCGAGACATTTTCATCAAAATGGTTCTTGAAAATCCAACAATTAGGCAATTCAAACCACGTGACATTCAAGATGGCGTGGCGGCCACACATGGGCCAAAAAACACAAAAAAATATCTAGTTTCTGCCCAAATTAATAGTTTAGGTACCTAGTCAAAAAATATTTTATTATAGTTATTTATGTATCAAGGGTACTAAGTAGATGATTATGCCCTGAGGGCGACAGTCTTACAAAGCCGAGGGCCTCTGGCCCGAGGGTTTGTAAGTCGCCCGAGGGTATATATATCTATTAGTATCCGTGGTGCATACAAACTTTTATGTCATAACAGTTGGTTGTGAATAATAAATACCTGGGAAAAAAGTGTCACTTCGCAAATTGTCATCAGTGTGCAAACATCATTATTTTTTGACAAAAATAATATGTTTTTCTACAAACGTGTTAAAAATGCAATTTTTAACACCCCCTCGAAGCATTAAAAATGTTACTTTATTGCACTAGTGTTAAAAGTCTTTAAGGCACTAGTGTTAAAAATGAAACATCAAAATTTGAAAGCAAACGTCAAAAAAAGTTTGTATTTTTAATTATTTACATTAATATTAATGGTAAAATTTGAACATCTGAGGAAGCTCCATCGGCCGCCTCCACTATATTTTTCAAGGGATTGATGCAACCCTCTTTTTCTTGTGTATTTTGTTGCATTTTTAGCAAAAAGCTTACTGACCACGATAGACCATACGACAGACTTTCAAGAAACTGACGAGACATTTCATTACCTGTAAAACAAGGTGCTGGTTGTTTGAATTTTTTGACAAATATCAAATTCAATAATTTTACGTAGGAAAGATGCTTCCAATTTATTATTCATTTAAAAATCCAATTTGTCACTGGTTATTGCCGTTTGTAGAAAAAATATTGTATGATATTTGTGTTAAAAGTATTTTTAAGGCACTTATGTGAATTGCAGAATTCGCTTCGCTCATTCTGCAAACTTTCACATGCGTGCCTTAAAAATGTACTTTTAACACTTATATCATAAATAACTATTATAAGCGTAAATTTATATTTTGTTAATAAAGAATAGGTTAATTGAAAACTGTTTTTTGCGCCTTTATGCCCGCGCGGGCCATAATGTGTACTTTATGCCCACACGGGCATAAAGTAATCAATTATGTAGATGGTATCTAAGGTATAAAAACACAATAATGTATTGGTATGACATAATAGTTATTTATGTATCAAGGGTACTAAGTAGATGATTATGCCCCGAGGGCGACAGTCTTACAAAGCCGAGGGCCTCTGGCCCGAGGGTTCGTAAGTTGCCCGAGGGTATATATCTATTAGTACCCGTGGTGCATACAAACTTTTATGTCATGCCTGCGCGGGCCATAATGTGTACTTTATGCCCGCACGGGCATAAAGTAATGAATTATATAGATGGTATCTAAGGTATAAAAACACAATAATGTACTGGTATGACATAAAATAATGAAAATCAAAGTTGTAAGCAAAACTGAATGCAAAATAATTTAAAATACGCATAAAAACATATTCAAAACAAAATTGCTTGGCCGCCACGCCACATTGAATTATCCTTTTTGACAGATGGATTGAATTGCCTAATTGACCTTTTGTTTCGACGCCATATTGCGGTGCGCGAACATAGTTGCCAAAACAAGCAAACCAAAAATTACTAGCGGGCTGTCAACTAGATATTTTATTATTTCTATTCTGCTCAATACAAGCTTAAATTGATGGCTTTTCTTTTCAAAAACATTCGTAATAGGCGGCAAATTTAAATTTTAAATGTAATTTATTCACTAACTTTGGATTTTAAAGTTGACAGAACGCTAGTATTTTTTTTTCTACTGTTGGCAACTATGTTCGCGCACCGCAATATGGCGTCCAAACAAAAGGTCAATTAGACTATCCAAAACACGTGACTTTGACAAGCAAAATATGGCCGACAAGAGGCACACAAACATTAACACAAACACAAACCATAACGTCATTATGTTATGTCATTAATAATCATAATTCAATACTTATTTTCTATTGTGTGTCTGATTGTGTGCCTCCCAATTGTTGCCAGTTTCTACCCAATAACGCAATCCTTATCGTTTGGGCAAGGTTGCTCTACCTGCATTTCACTTGGACACGCAGGATCTACCCTTGATGTGAAAATATTTATTTATTTCAACTCCACCATACAGTGTTGTGTTTTGATTTGTATTGTTTTTTTCAATTGGAATTTTAAAAACTTTAAGAATGTGCCGATCTCCACGACTTCCACATTCAATGCTACAACACGTTGTAGGCATGTTTTTCGCGTTTTTGAGAACTATTTACTACTATTTACATACACTTTTCAAATACACTATTTCTAACATTAATGAAAATAACAGTTTTAAGTATCAGAACGCAAATAATTCACAAATGAGCCCTATTTTAAGCTCATACATTATTTGATGACAAATTTGATGACACATAAACAAAGGGTTTAGGTCATTGGTTTATGTGCCTCTTGGCGGCCATTTTAATTCAAGTTTGACAGCATCTTGGATAGTCTAATAGGGAACTTGCACATCAAACTAAATATGGAATAAATAACAAAACACAATAACAATCATCCTAATAAATGATGCAATTAGGAAAACAATTTAATATCTTATCTCTGGTGTCCAAAATCTTCAATTGAAAATACCAAATTCGAAATTCATGAACCGATCAAAAACGTATTTCTATGGATCGTGACGTCACAAGGCAGTAATAATCGGGTCGTGCCGCTGCCACGTCTTGTGCTGCTGGTGTCGCCAATGTCAAATCTATCAAAAACTGCATACATAACAACATAACCATAATCTAAATCTACCTGCTTGAAGTTCGAAGTGCTCGTCACTGTGATCGGAATTTTGTTGCCGAGTGACGTCACACTGATCGGTCGTTTCAAATGGCGATGTTTCGAGCGTAACTTCAAATAATTATTAAAAATTAACGGCTGATTTTTAATGCCTGATATTTGGCATGACTATGTCTTTAGTGAAGTAGAACACATTTTTGAATTTAAAAAAAAAATGTGCAAGTTCCCTATTACGACAATAGAGAAACTGCAGTATCTTAAAACGCATGTGAGAGGGGAAGCTGGAAGATTGATCCAGCACCTGTCTATAGCAGAAACCAACTATGGTCCTGCTTGGAATATTCTC